CTAGCCTAGATCAAGGTTGGTGGTTGCGTTAGGTAGCTAAAACCATGTTAGACCCATAAGGGCATGAATATGAACATATAAACTTAATAATTGATCATAATGATCAGGACATGTGCACTTCATTTGGTGTCCAAGAGTATAGTCAAACATTCTGGAGAAGTATCATCAATGTAGTCATGTTTCTAGAAAGATGAACTAAACCTTTTCATTTTCGAATGATTACAAGAAACTTTCATTTTATAAAATTTCATGTTTCCATAACCTAGGAAGAACCAACCTAGCTCATCATTTTTCAATTTTGAATCTCAACAACATTATAATCACCATTAAAAGCTGACATATCTCTTTCCAAATTTGTTAGAACCCACTAAAACAAATGTATGCTTAATCAGTTTTGGGAAAGCTATTATGCTAAGAGTATCTCCACCCAAACCTTCAAAATTTGCTATGTCAATTTTTTTTTAAGGCTTGGGTAGCAAATTGGCATATGCAAATTTGACATTTCTAAATAAAAGCTCTCCACTTGATATGTCAAATCTATTATTTTATTATTTTTTATATTAATAATTTTTAAACTCTTTTATTTTACTAATTAAAATGAATTTATTTTTAAATGAGATTTGATCCCCATTTAAATAGTATTTTTATTTCTAAAAAAGTGCTATAGTTATAAAATAATTTTTTAAATAAAATTCAAAACTTTTATTCATTGTTGCATAAAATACTTTGCTTATTTGGTAAAAAAATAAAATTAGAGTACAACACATTTAAATAAAAAATAACAATACATAAATATCACAATAAATCACTTGTTACAATTGGCCCCTTGAAAATGTCACAAGTGTTCAACCAATTCCTTTTGGAATTGAGAATGTGATCATCTATGGTGAATGTGCAACTGACTTTAAATAAATCTCAAGCACAGACAAGGGATTTCGAACTATTTCCATCAGTCAACCCAAACCAAATCAAACAGCACCTACAAAACTAAAAGCGAAAATCAACAACACTGGCAGCAGACTAAAAAATAGTAGTTTAATCGAAAAAAAAGTTAAAAAGAAAATATTGAACAAGATTCATAAAAATCATTTATTCGAGGTTAATTGAGAGAGAGAGAGAGAGTACTGGTGGGTTGGTGGAAGAAGGTAGTAGCAGATATAGAGTCGAAGCTCTTCTGAATAGGAGGTACGAGATCAGGTGGGACAGGTTATGCAATATGCATCGCATCACCAAGGATCTTCTAGAGTGAAATTTTTCTAAAGTTTTCTAGAGTGTTATATTGTGTGGTTGAGATTTACTGGCAAGTCACATCAGAAAAATTGATGTGACTTACCAGTAAATCTCAACCACACAATGTAACACTCTAAGAAACTTTAGAGAAAAATCACTCTAGAGGATCCTTGCTCGCATTGCATAGCGTGTCTTTGTGCTGGTCGATATTATCATCGTGATGTCGTCCTCCAAGATTAACAGATTAAAAAAAAAATTGAATAAAAAAAAGTCCAATTTATATGTTAATTAGTTGGATAAAAAAAATTACAGTAATTTTTTAGGGTGCTCAGTTCATAAATTATTTTTATAAACTTTCAAGGTCATAGATCCACGCTCCTTTTGTTTGGATTCGTAAGGACAACGTATAATTTGTTTGGGTCCATAAGGATAGTACTTATTTGTAGAAATTCTTCCTTCTTCACATTCTCACCTTCTCTCTCTACAAATCCATTTTTTCTTCTTTCTCTCTCGCAGCAGCACCAAAGCTCCGCCACCCCTTTCGGGCACTGTCGGCAACCTCGCAGCCCTTCTCATTGTCGCCGGAGACGACACCACCACCGTCATCATTATCGCCGAAGCTCTTCTCAAGCAAATCTTATACCCTCGTTTGATTTTCTTGGCTTATGGTGATGCTCACAACTTGAAGAGTACCATCAATATTGTGAGTTCAGATGCGGAGGAGGCGGAGTAAGGAGAGTTGAGATTGGCGATGATGTGAGCTCGAATGGCAAAGGCGATTTTTCGATGAGATGAATGGTTTCTTCTCAGATTCGTCGCTCCCCCATGCCCTTTCCTCAGATTCGCCGTTCTCCTACCATTAATTCTTTCTTTCTCTATCTGTTTTCTTTCTTTATCTGTTATCTTCAATTTTCTCAGAACCAAGGGCCATAGGTTCATTTTCTTTCTCTATTTGACAAGGCTCTTGATTAGAATAATAGAAATGTTAGTTTCAATAGATAACATTTATGTCTCTTCGTGTTCTTCAGTGTTGTCTGTGTTTGAAGAAATTAGTCTCTCTATAATTGTATTGTATGCTGCGGAGAGAAGGAAACCCAAACCCTGTTTGGATTGAGAGAAACGGTGAAAGAGAAAGATGAAGGAGAGAGATAAATGGATTTGATTTGGAGAGAGGCCAATTTCAACAGATAAAATAAAAATTTAAAATCAATTTGTGCAAATCTGTGTGAAATCAATTTGTACAAATAAAAATTTGGACAAATGTACAATAGATAAAAATTCAATAGATAGAAAATTCAACAAATAGAAATTCAACAGATAGATTTTTTTCAACAGATAGGCTTTATATAAAAATTTCAATAGATATGTATTAATGGACTTTTGACCAACAAATGTCCTTATCACCAAATAATATTTCCCCTTCAAGCATCATTATCAAGTTCATTAAACTATTCTCTTGGCTATGTTATAGCATAAAATTATAAAAATACACTTCATCAAATTCAATTCTTACCTGGCTACTTTAGTTGAACATCAAATTACTAGTTACATATAGTTAGGAAAAGATGACTCAACAAATGAAATAAAGAATAAAGAGTTTGTTGGAGAATGTTTCATTTTTTGGAGAATGTATTTGAAAGATGGTTAGCTAAAATAGAAAAATAAACTTTCAGTTAAAATTTAACTAAAAATTTGACTATTTTGATGGAGATGCGCTTAGATCTAATGTCTTATACCCTCTTTAAATTAGATTTTTCACCAATTTTAATTTTTTTTATTAATTATGGCTAATAAAGTTAGATGCTCTGCTATTTGCCTTTTTTTTGGGTCTTTTTTATTTTATTTATATTTTTTGTGTCGATTTCAATCCCCTCCCCCCCTCTCTCTCTCCCTATATATATATATATATATATTACAATCTTATTATAAAAATTCAATTTTATCATTATTCCTAACTTCTCAAACTCTAATCTTATCCGAACCTAGCCACCACTCACCATCACCACTTTCTGCCCCCACCCATCCCCAATTTTGACTACCCTCCACCACCATCCCCTATCCATCATCATCTCCAACCAACCTCCTTGACTTTCCTTACCACCCCCATTCTCATCCCCACGGTCTCATGCATTGTTCTCCATTATAATTAGTAATTCGAGATTTGAATCGTTCAATTTGTAAGACTTTGTGTGGACCATTACATGTGGTCAATCCACCTTATCCAACCCAATTGCTTTTTTAAGGGCTTCAAATTTATGTTTTAATTCATAAGCCACACTTAATTGTTAAATTAGTTTTAGTGAAATTTGTTTTGTTTGCTGCTTAATTAATTTTGTAAAGTCATGCTTGTAATATTTCCTTCTTGTTATAGTTAGTTGTTATCAATCTAGCTAGCACTAGGCAGTACTCTATGCTAAAAATAAGAATGGAATGGTGATGCCAATTGATATTTGATACATTCAACCCTCATCTCTCACTCACAGTCACAGCTGCCTGCCCCTCTACCTGACAATCAGCAAGCACACGTGATGTGATGGGCTTGCTTGCATGATATATATATATATATATATATCAATAGTTACTTGCTGGCTTCTAAATCCAAAATATAAATTAGCTTTGATGAACATACATATTAATGCCTACTAACCACCAGAGGGGGAAGGGGGTAAAACACTAGGATGGGTGGCTGCTAGAATGCAGGTGACATTCGTTGGTGGGGATCACCGCACAGATTGGCAAAATGAAAAAGTTGATGATGAATGTAGTATAAATGTAGGGTCCAATTGCTTTTAGGCTTCTGTATCATTGCACGGGGCACTCTATCCCCTATATATTATTCGTTGTCCATGCATGGAGAAGAGTATGGACCACTAATCTCTCTCTCTCTCTCTCTCTCTCTCTCTCTATTAGCTGTTGGTTGCAAATCCAAATTTTCAATCTGAATTTTCGATGGGTTTGATGAATGATTAAGCTAAGTTAAATTTAAATATTGATTTACAATTTATTACTAGATTTTCAACAATTAACAATTTTATGGGTATTTTTAAAAAACAAAAATACATGATAAAACTTTTCATTTATTTGCTTTATATAATAGTATAATAGTATTCATATATGTTATTAACAAAATGCTTAATCTAGTTATCGAGAATCTAACACACTCTGTTTATCGGATCAAGTTTCATATCCTAACTCCCTCCTCTATAAGTGGAATACTATCATGTTCTTCTTGTGATTTGAAAAAACGAAAAAAACAACTTTTTCCTTTTCTTTGCTCTGTTCTTAGGTCAAAAGAAATTAAGCAATCTGCTCCCAGTTCACTTCACAAAATTTTGTTCCTAATGTGGTGCCAATCACATTAATGAAGTTGTGTCAGCCGGCAGCATTTTGATTCCAAAATTGTTCAGAAACAAAGCACATTTTTCACTTGAGCATCCAACCCAACACTCCATCTAGATTGTAGGGTGAAAAAAAGAAAAAGAAATAACTGTATTTTCCCAAAATCATGTTTGGATGAGTGAAAAAACAAAACATGTGAGAAAAGACACGAGTAAAATTTCTTTGGAAAAATTACAAGAAAAACTCCACAATTCAACTATTGTAACAAAATAAACATTAAATTTTTACTTTAAACAACTTAAACAACTCCAATATTTTGATTTGATTTCAATCTAAACCATCAACTTATTTTTGTTAAGTAAAACCAATGAAAAAATGATAAGAAACTCCTATATGTAAATTCTGTACAGGCCAAGCTACACTAGTATTGCTAAGAGAAATCTAACTTTTTATTATTTTTATTTATTTATCTAATGATACGATTCTGTAGGAAGTAACAGAAACTTCCTTTAATCTAATGATATTACGTCAAATGAAAACAATCAAAACCAGAAAGAACATGAGACGTCAAAATAAAAAATAAAAAATCGACAGCCGAGTCTTACATAATAGTAATACTATGTGCTCTCCCACTGTTACAGTTACTGTCCTTTCCTTTTGGTTTTGGGCACATCCGGAATACACGATGACCAAAAGAGAGGCAAGAGCGTGCAAGCTGCCTGTACAATAAGGCCACGTGACAGGCCTGAGAAATCATTCCCCGTCACCCCAACATATGATGCAAGTGCAACACCCAAGTATCCACTCACTATAAATGCAAGAGCAATGGAAGACGTGAGAAATGCCATTAGAGATCCCTCACAGCCTGGTGGGCAAAGCTGTGCCACAAGAACACTAAATGGAAGAATCTTAAAGAAACACATAACTTCAAGTAAGCCTGAGAAGACCACAACATACACCGAATCTGGCATCCCCATCCTTCGATATATCCCTTCCACAAACAAAACATCCGACACCATGAAAACAGCCATAGTCGACTGAATGGCTGAGATTAGTTTCTTCGGTGGAACGAACTTCAGGTGTTGATTATATGCAACACCCCAGAGCAACATTGCTACCTGTCCAAACACCTTAGAGACCCCCAATACAGAAGAGTCAATCTCCAAATGTTGCGTCTGATAGAAAAACATGGTGCCTGTTAAGGCTGGAATTATGGCATAAGACACTGCAAACCAGGTTATTGAGTGAGCAATTTCAGGTTTCTGCAATGCAACTAGGAGCTCTGAAAGCTGCTTTCTGATTCCGACGTTTGATGGACTCTTGGGGAGATTAAGTGAACTTTCACGAATCAAAACTGTTATAAAAAACTGCATAGCAAGGATTACGCCAAACCAAAAGAACATTGCTTGGGGGGAGAATCGGTCAACAGCAACACCACCAAGCATGTTTCCGAGGACTCCACCAATGGAGGAGGCTATCCAAACAAAGGACTGCAGCTCACCTGATGAAGACATCTGGGAGTTCTTGGAAGAGGCACTGGGCTGTTTTCCAGTCTCTGCAACAATAGCATCATTTGCAACCTCAACTATTGAAGCACCGAAGTTCCCAAGGAGGAGACATAGGATGATTTTAAAGAATGAGATATTGGAAGAAGGAATAGCAATGGCAATCCAGGACACTGCTTGCAAGAAAGCTGCACCAACATATGAATAGTATAAATTAGCAAAAAAATAAATTTAGATAGCCAGGGCATCAGCATAGCAGCATAAAACATTTTTTTTCTTCTTCTGTCAGACGTGCTTTTCGGCATCAGTTTTAGTTGTCAATACCAAGAGAAGACCATGCAGGATTCACAATGTAGTTCCAAAATCAACTAAACACTGTTTCAATAATAAAGATCCATTTATTGCCATCCTTTTTTCAAGAAAGGAAGGCAATAAGAGATCTCAAACTCACATTTTTCATTTGCTTTCTTTGGTAAGGAAATTACAGACAAATCAAACCTACAAAAGACCAAGGATGCCTAAGAAGTGGACATCCTTTTGTGCTCCCATTTTAAGCCAATACAATATTGAGATTTTTTACAGCCCAACATGACATTATTTTCAGAACTCTGACCCTAATAGCGAAACCAATGCCATACATAACCACTTTAGTATTTAGTTTTGTCATAAGTAACCATATTTTATTAAATTGGATAATTTGTTATTAGAGTACTATCATTTTGTTTGTGGGTATGCTGAAAGTTTGAGATATATCTGTAGTGAGTAAAATCCATTTTACACCCTGTTATGGCATCAAAGCACTTCACCCCCTCACAATTATGAGCCCCAATCTGCGTAGGAGCACTTTATATTTGACTTCTATACACCAATTCTTTGCACTTGGATATATACGCTATCATCAGGATCTTGCGATTCATCTATTCACAATTTATCATCATCGATATGAATATATGGGTGAATATGTTTTTGGGATAGAGACTGTGGTGAATCAGACGATTCACAATCGATTTGCGATTTGATTCACTTTTACGATTCATGCAATACTTAGAACTACTGTGTCTGACAGGTTCTAACCTTTTTTTATAGTGAAAATGACATAAACAACTTTGAAGAGTGTTTAATACAAAAATAAGTAATACTTGTGCATTATTTGTTGTTATTTTGGTAATCAGAGACTTTTTAAATAGTATTCAATTAGATCCCGTAAAACCCAACACGATCTTATACTTTTTTCTCAATTTTTTTCCCCAACAAATGTCATAATACATCTTCTAAAGATGCTTAAGGTTAAAGTAACAAGCATGCATGAATTATCTATTGCTGATTTCATGAAATAAATATGGTTCAATATTATATGGGTCAGGACCGTCAATGATTTCACTTTTTTTCCCCCCCTTTTTTCTCTTTCTTTTTTTTTTTTATTTAAAAAAAAGGCATTTTTTGAACAATAACCACACACCTGTTTTAAAGTGTTTTGGTTAAAAATTAAATGATTTCTCTTAATTCTTTCTTCAAATTACACTCTATATAAGGTTTCTAGGCCCATTTTTTGAATGTCAAGAGAGATTATATTATGGTTGGTAAGATTTGACATACATCTCTTGATATGAAGTTAATGCCCTCCCAATTGGATGGTGTAATTATGTCTTTATATAAGAATTATATTATAACATATGTCAAAATCAATTTATTTCTTTCTTTTTCATGTATACAATTGTTTAACAATCTTTTTTACAGTTTCTATTGAATCTTAACGATTCTCGATTCACAATACGATTCTCGATTTAACAACTATGGATATATATATGAAAAAAATGCAATTAAGTTAAAAATGAAGGATATATAGATATATGTACGACATAGGAAATAAGAGAAGGAAAAAGAAGACGACAGAGGAATATTAAGATCATTTCACATTTGTCATTAGCGGTGTTAGTATTGCATTTTAGTCCAAAACCACATGAAACCTTTTTGGCTTATTTATAATGTTAGGGATGAAATGTTCCAAGGTCATGCCACAAGAGGGTAGAATGAATTTTGCCCTGAATTAAATTACGTAATGCTTAAGAGAATATCATTAATTTAAATGGCACAATATATTCAAGTTAATTAACTTAATTAATTATTTTTAAAATAAAAATTCCATATACTAAAATCTCTAAATGACAATCGGATCGTAACATACATAGATTTAACTAAAACTCCTACTATTGACATCGTGACTAGTTCATTGATTGCCATTCATGTCAATATATAATATGTTTAATTATAGTCATTTTAGCTTTCATAAAGTAACAAATCCTGTGTTTGTGCACGTGGACGTGTAGAGCATGCATGCATTCTTGCATGTGTGCATATGAGTCGAGGGTAATGACTTCAACATATTTTGAACCAACACTTCTACAGTGTAATTAGATCAATTGCACCTATTTCCTGTGACTACAAGTACATGGTTTTGGCATACACAAGTTTTGTTAGCAATGAAGATTGGACCACAACCAAAAACAATTGAAGAGGAAACTTCATTAATTCTTTTATATTTCATTCCATTTTCAGTCAATTTCAATCTTACATGATGTTGACAACTTCTTGTTACAGAGGAGGAGCCACAGCAAACAATATGGGACATGTGACTTGGCCAAAAATTTTGAGAACAAGTAGATAAACAAGGGACAAATTTAATGAAAATTATTTTAAACAAAGAGGAAGGAATCATCAATGAGAAGAAGTAAAAATCTAAGAAACGATATTACCCAAAAAAAAAAATGGTGTAAAAGTATTAGAGCACTTAGTAGCAAGAACTTCTACTTGAGTGGTGTTTCTTACTAAGAAACACGATTTTGTGCTCGCAAGTAAGAAACTTGCTCCCGTCAAGAAAGAAATTTGCTCCCAACTGAGATAGAAATCTCTCAAATATATATAAATCGCATAGAAACGGAAGAAAAATAACTCAATCTTGTTTTTTAAATTTTTTATTTATATTACATCTATTTATACTTAATAAAGACAATTTGTACTTGATATGAATCTCCAATATTTATTCATATTTTAAATACATATATTATAACTAAGCGGCAAAAAATAATTGTTAGAATATCTTTATATATTTAATAAATAAATATATACACTCTCATAGGCACTACCAACCTAAGAAACTTCTATATACCATCACTCCTCCGCCCCCTGCTCCTGCTTCCGCTCCCATCCCGCCCCTGATTCGTGCAACTAAGTTAGAGCACCTCCACCCATTGCTTCAAATCCAACGTGGCATACTAATAGTAACATTTGACATCAAATAAAAGCTCCACCTGGTGCTTCAAAGGTTGACGTGGCTTTTGGCAGCAACACATGTCAAAATTGACATACTAATATGCTATAGAGTTCATGCCTTTCTTTGTTTATTTTATTTATTTATTTATATAAATGAAGTCCAATTAATTATGATGCAAGAGAGGATGAAGTTGGTGATGTTGCAGTGTCACGTGACCACACAAGGAAATTGCATACCATTAGCTGATATACATCAGAGATTTCATTTAAAGTCACTTGCGCATTCATGATAGAGGATCACATTCTGAATTCCAAAAGGAATTGGTGGAACATTAGCGGCATTTTCAAGGGGGCAATTGTAGCAAGTGATTTATTATGATGTTTATGTATTGTTATTTTTTATTTAAATATGAGTTCTACTCTAATTTTACTTTTTTACCAAATAAACAAAGTATTTTACGCAACAATGAATAAAAGTTTTGAATTTTATTTTATAATTATAGCACTTTCTTAGAAATAAAACTACTATTTAAATGGGGATCAAATCTCATTTAAAAAGAGATTCATTTTAATTAGTAAAATAAAAGAGTTCAAAAATTATTAATTTAAAAAATAGTAGAATAATAGATTTGACATATTGAGTGGAGAGCTTTTATTTAGAAATGTCAAATTGGCATATGCTAATTTGCTACCCAAGCCTTAAAAAAAAAATTAATATACCAAATTTTGAAGGTTTGGTTGGAGATGCTCTACGCACAATAGCTTTCCCAAAACTGATTAAGCATACATTTGTTTTAGCAGGTTCTAACAAATTTGGAAAGAGATATGTCAGCTTTTAATGGTGATCATAATGTTGTTGAGATTCAAAATTGAAAAATGATGAGCTAGGTTGGTTCTTCCTAGGTTATGGAAATTTGAAATTTTGTAAAATGGAAGTTTCTTGTAATCATTCGAAAATGAAAAGGTTTAGTTCATCTTTCTAGAAACATGACTACATTGATGATATTTCTCCAAAATGTTTGACTATACTCTTGGACACCAAATGAAGAGCACATGTTCCAATCATTATGATAAATTATTAAGTTCATATGTTCATATTCATGTCCTTATGGGTCTGACATGGTTTTAGCTACCTAACGCAACCACCAACCTTGATCTAGGCTAGGGATTAGTTGTATAAAGTTTAAGCAAGCACTAAGCACATACAGGACAGATTATTAGGACCAACTCCTAAGTCCTTGCTATTTCTTAAGAAGGGTTTTCTGTAACACAAGTTTACTAATTAAGAAAATCAACTAGTTGAAGTGGTAGAGAGACTGATGAAATGTTAGGATGATAATTAGATCTATCAAAGTTCCCTTGGCCATAGTTATATAGCATATATTTTACGCTATGTGCACATGTGCCCACCAAAGGGACAGCAGGACCAGCCTCTTTTACCTGCTTTAGCATTAGCATTTGCAAAAGCAAAAAGCAAAGAGAAACCTACCGACTTTCAACTTCAGAAGGGGGATATTCCAAATGTCAAACAAATTGCCATGACCTAAACTACTAAAAACATAATTTGCATCATCGAAATTGTATGATAACTCACAGAAACGAGTTTATCATTTGTAAAGAGGTTTTGATTTTGGGGGTATAAAAAATGATGTTGATCAGATGAATCGAATTTACAAGAGAAAGTAGTCAGAAAGTAAATCAAGTCTATAATATACTATTTTAATTAGACAAAATAAAAATAAAGAAGGAGAAGAAGAAGAAGAAGTACGTACCTCCAATAGCAATGTAAGGAATGCGGTGTTGGGAGGCAATGTAAACAGAGTCAGAGAAGAGGCCATAAATGGGTTTGGCAACCATGGGGAGGTTGGCAGAGTTCTGGAGAAGCTGGAGGGTGGAAGAGTCCACCTTGAGATCGTCCTTGAGGAAGAAGTTAACCCCCATCCACGGGAAGCACCTCATCCCCTGCACCCAGAACCCTAATCCCAGCAATACCTTTCGCATCCACATCTGCATCCTATTCTTATTCTCTTTAATATTAATATTATTATTAGTGTCATTACCGTTCGACTTCGACTTGAATCTCGACCTCGATCCCATTTCTCTATCAACACCACCCAATATTTCTTTGAACCTTTTTTTTTGTAAGAGGAATCGAATACAGATTATATGTATATATAATAGATAGATCAACTTGAGCTGAACCACGTCAATTATACTTAGAATGAATGAATCCCTATGGTAACCGTCACTACTTTAGATAGAGAGAAGAGATAACAATACGGTGTAGAGGAACAGGGAGAGAGTGTGAGTGAGTAGTGTTGATTAAATGTTCGCAAGCACAGTGGGAGATGAATCCTCACTGGCATCAGATGGACTAGACAGAAACAAGAGTGAGAGAGACAATTTTTTACTCGTGAGTGAGAGCTCGTATGGGGAGAAAGTGGAAGGGAAAACCGGAGAGAAGGTTAATGCCAAGGTTGTTAAGATCGGGATCCTACACAGAATTGTTTTGGGGGTCTGCCGAATCGTAACATCCTACTAAAATGATAAAAAAAAAATGCAATAATTTTTATGCATCCAATAAGAACTTGCCACATCAGTGGCTCTTTAAAACTAAAGGAACAAAACACTTTGTATGTGCATAACAGGGAATTAAATCTCTTAGGGCATTCGTTTTTCCCATTAAAAAAATACAAAATGAAAACGTGAAACAAAAGCAGAAAGAAACGAAGAAAGAGGGAGAGGGAGACGCACCTGCGTTCCATCGAGCACAATCACCATCATCTGTGTTTTCCATCGGCGAGCACCATCCTCCGTCGTCTGCCGTCGTTAGCCAATGTTGCACGCCAGAGCGAAACGAAGAGAGAAGAAATCTTTTGAGAAGAATGTCAAAACTCAACCATTGTTGTCCACTCTCACATCATAGATTGAATCAGGTTCGTCCTCCAAACTCTATCTAATTCCAAATCTATATTGAAAAGTTAGGGTTTTGATTGATGAACTAAATTTTGATTTGAAGTTTTGAAAAATTAAGGTTGCGTGTGGTTATGTGTTGGAATTATGATTCCAACACAATTTTCACGACATTTTTTAAAATTCATAACCAAACACACAACTCAAAATTACTTAAAACTTAATTCAAAAATTATTTTCAAAACTCATAACCAAATACAATTCAAAACTCCTTTCAAAACTCAAAACCAAACTCTTTTCAAAATTCTATTTTAAAAGAAAAATTAAAAAAATACTTTTTATTTTTTTTAAATATTATTTTTAGAATCATGATTTGAGTGTAGAGTTGTGTTTTGAGTTACGAGTTTTGAATTGAGTTTTGAAAAGATAATTTATTCGGTTACGAGTTTTGAATAAAAAAAGTTGAGTTATATTTTGAGTTGTTTTTTTAAATATTTAAAAAATTTCTTAATTTATTTTTTTTAGGATTTATTTATTTATTTTAATGTGCACTATTTCATATATTTTTGTGTTGTACTTTTTTAAATATTAAAAAATTGAAAAAAAAAACATATTTTTTATTTAAATATATAATTTCTATTTTAAATATTTTATTTTGTTTTATAAAAATATTTTTAAATATCTTAATTTTTTTGTTATGTGTTTGGTTATGATTTGAGTATAGAGTTTTAAAAGTATTATGTGTTTGGTTATGAGTTTTGAAAATAATTTTTGAATTGAGTTTTAAGTTATATGTTTGGTTATGATTTGAGTGTGGGGTTGTGTTTTGAGTTTAAAATATTAAAATTAAAAAAATTAAAATATTTACAAATAAAATAAAATAAAATATTTAAAATAAAAAAAAAATTAAAAATATCTAAATAAAAATTATACATTTAAAATAAAATAAAAAAATAAAATTTTCTTAAACATTTTTTAATATTTTAAAAAAATACATCCAAAAAATTTAAAATACAATTCAAAATTCAAAAACTCAAAACTCAAAATACAATTTAAAACTCTTTCTAAAACTCAAAACTCTTTTCAAAATTTAAAATTTAAAAGCTTCTTTCAAATCTCATAACCAAACAAACTTTCTTCTTCTCTCTTCGTTGCGCTCTGGCGTACAACATTGACCGACGATGGCAGACGACGGAGGATGGTGCTCACCAGTGGAAAACGCAGATGATGGTGATTATGCTCGACAGAACGCAGGCAAGCTCGTCTCCCTCTCCCTCTCTTCATTTCTTTTCTGCTTCTGTTTCACGTTTTCATTTTGTATTTTTTTAATGGGAAAAACGAATGCTCTAAGAGATTTAATTCCCTGTTATGCACAAATCGAGTTTTTTGTTCCTTTAGTTTCGAAGAGTTACTGATGTGGCAACTTCTTAATGGGTGCTGTCAAAAATTATTGTATTTTTTTATCATTTTAGTAGGATCTTATGATCCGCAATCCGATCCGACAGATCCCTAAAACGATCCTATGTAGGATCCCAATCTTAACAACTTTGGCGTTAACCCTCCCTCCGGTTTTCCCTTCCACTTTCTCCCCCTACGAGCTCTCACGAGTAAAAAATCGTCTCTCACTCTCGTTTCTGTCTAGTCCATCCGATGCCAGAGAGGATTCATCTCCTCTTGTCCTTGCGAACATTTAATCCACACCACTCACTCACATTCTCTCTCTCCCCGTTCCTCTACACGGTATTATTATCTCTTCTCTCAGTCTGAAGTAGTGATGGTTACCACAGGGATTCATTCATTCTAAGTATAATCGACGTGATTCAATTCAAGTCGATACATCTATTATATATACATATAATCTGTATTTGATTCCTCTTACAAAAAAACATTCATTCTAAGTATAATCGACGTGATTCAATTCAAGTCGATCCATCTATTATATACAGATATAATCTATATTCAATTCCTCATACCAAAAAAAAAAAAGATTCAATGAAATATTGGATGGTGCAGTTGAACCTATACTTCCTGATGAACCCATATTCCTATAATATAACCATTAACAAAATAATTTGTGAATTCTTTCGCATCATTCGAGTATATAACTTTTCAAATATTTAAATAACAATTTTTTTATCGTGTCTACTACAGTCTACAACAGTAAAAAGAGGGCAAAGTTAAATAACAGAGACGTCATTTACATTACCTTTTTTTTTTTTTTTTTGAAGATGATTACAGAGAAGGCTCAAAACTTGCAAGTTGCATGAAATTCCAGGGCTGTGGGGAAAATAATAATAAAATATATGAAAAAAGGAGAGCTCAAGAAAAAGGAAGAAGAAGAAGGATCAAAGAAAGAGAAAATCAAAGAGGGGAGAATCGAATCAAAAAAACGAAGGGGGGGGGGGGGAATAAAAAAAGAACAGATCAATTTGTTTGCTGCGAAGGAAGAAAAAAAGGAAAAAAAATTAAAGAAAGAGAAAGAAGAATTGAAGAAAAACGAAGGAAAAAAAAAAAGAAAGTTATCTTTGTTCTTCATTTGCTGCCGAAAGAGTACAAAATTGCCCCCGCGGGGGGTGGGGTGGGGTGTTTGGAGGATAAAAAAGAGGAAGAAAAATCGAACAAAATATGCGAAGAAAGAGTACAAAATCTGCGAAGAAACAGACAAAAAAAAAAAAATGAAAGAAAGAAAGAAAGAGGAAGAAGAATCGAAGAAGAAGAGAGGGAAGAATCGAAGATGAACTTACCGGAATGTGGCCTTTGAAGGAGAGAATCAATCAGCACCGATTAAACCTCTTCAATCGCACCTTCGAAGGAGTGCTTCGACTCTCTTGGGAGTATTTCTGAAGGAGATAATCGAATAGATCTAGAACCCAAAAACGTACCCAGAGTTTAATGTTTTATTTATTACAAAAGAATCCCAGATTTATATAATTTTTAAAATAGATTAAAAAAAAATTTGCTCTAGTACACTAAATTTGTAGAAAATCTCTTTTTTACCTCCGAAGTACCAAAAAACGTACCCATTATGTACCGATCGTGTACCATCCTGTACCCATCAATATACTAATCGTATAAAATGTACCTGGAATGTGTGTAATTGTACCGGTATACGTACCCACACTCGAAGTACCCATGCTTCATAGAACACATAACTCAAAATTCAATTCAAAAATTATTTTTAAAACTCATAACTAAACACATAACTCGAAACTACACACTACTTTCAAAATTCTACACACAAATTGTAACCAAACACATAACAAAAAAAGTAAGGCTCTGTTTGGTTGTTAATTCAAATCAATTTTCAATACATGAGCTCGCGCATGACGTTTGGATACGACGTTCAAAAGTTGATTCCGCGTGTTAATTCAAATTACATTTTGAAAATCTGTTTGGCAGCTTGTATCTCCCTTTCAACGTTTCTGCCTTCTTCATCGTCTCTACAACTTTCGCGTCATCTACATCAGTCCTTCAGATTCATCACGGGTGGCTTTTCTGTATCAAACATCCGTACTTCAGATTCATCACGGATGGGTTTCAGAAGTCAGACTCATTTTATAAATAATGAATCCACCCAACCCGCTCTGTATTGGTATCATATTTCACAAATCGACTGAGTTACGATTTGTGCGTTGCGGACGATTCTTATTACGGGCAACCAAACAACGACGACTGCGAGGTGAAATTACTCACAAATTTATTTACATATTTTGTTATAGGGAAATTATTTGAGAAATTCATCTTAATTTATTTTTATTTTTTTCAGGTCAAATTTATCAAAATTTATTGTCAAATCCAACGAGCAAACAGTGGCACATTCAATCAGTATACATATTCCATCACCGGCGATAACTATTCAACTCCCACTAATCTGGTAAATAAATCCTTCATCCTTCATCTGAAAATGATTTCAGATGAGTCGATAAATGATTTCATTCTTCATCCTTCATCCTGAACTGTTTCAACTTTTTTGTTCTTCAAGAATAGTCAGTAAATCAATCTATTATGTATAAATGATTTTGGAGAAGTAGAAATCAGTTCCTAAATGGTTTATGAGAATTTGTAGAGGCGTATTTTCCATTTCAGATCGGTTGTTATTTTAAATTATGAACTGTTTAAACCTTTCATCGATCAGAACCTGAAGCGGCAGTGCCTGGGACACCCGGCCGGTCATCTCTCGGGTCATCCAGCCGGTCGACCGGCCGGTCAACCACCCGGTCCTCCCACCTCTTCCGGTTTTGTCTTCCGATTTTCCATTTCTTCCTTAATCGTTTGAACCTACCGGTCTTTCCCTCAATTGTTTGAACCTACCGGGCTTTTTTATTGATTTTTTTTCTTTAATTTTTCTTTTACTGATTTGTTTCCTACTATTTAAACACAATGTTAACTGATTTTTTTATTATTATTTGTGGTTATATTTCTACTATTTGAATGTTTTTTTTTTGTGGTTATATTTCTGCTATTTAAATTCAATTAATCTGCTACGTACTTTTTTCCTCGAAATAAAATCATCTGTTCTTTTTCCTTTATCTATGTTCTCCTTCAAACCATTCTGCGCTGTTATTCTTGTATTTCCATCGCAGACTACTTTAAAATACTCTGTTATGCTTGTATTATCCATCCCAAACTAGTTTAAATATAATTTGTATGTTTATAGATGGATGGAAATAATTCCGATGACAATGAGAACACCAAAATGTGGATGCCCAGAATTGAAATGAAATTAATAAATATGTTGAGAGATGAGGTTAGAAACAATCAAACAACGGGTCGCACTACTTCGTGGACAATTAGGCATTGGAATCATTATGCAAATCAGTTGCACAACATATATGGATTTCGGTATACAGGTGTCAAGGTGCGCCAAAAATATCAGCGATTGAAAGCTGATTACTAGACATTTAAGCGACTACAGGCACAGACTAGTCTGGGATGGGATCCTATTATAGGCACTGTTATTGCACCCGATGAATTTTGGGATAAGGTTTTCCATTAATCTGTACTATTTTCTAATTTTATTTTAAAATTTTCATGATATATACAGTGCTTAATTCTTGTTTTGTAATTGTTGTAGGTAGGGGTGTGCATAATACCGCCGAAACCGCCGAAACCGCCAAAACCGCACCGAACCGCACCGCTAAGGCAAATTCGTTATTATTTGTCAATCGAACCGCCGGTTTTTGGTAAGAAAAATGGCAAATTCTAGTGAGCATCCACACAAGGACCCCTTGACTCAGAAGAAGAAGATGACATGTTAAATAAATTTTGGAACGCTGATGCTGGTGGGAGTAGCGCTGCTGAGGTCATTCCTGTTGACTTATTCGGGGATGAGTATATGGATCCAGCAAAGGGCAAAAGTCACAAGAGGGGCCCTGCAACCAGCCAGACTGACAGTGGTTGTTCCAAAAAGTCACGATCAAGTGGGTTTGATGATGTGTGCGCAGCTTTCGCATCCTATGTACAAGCCAAAACAGGACATTCACGTGCACGAGAAAATGAGACTGAGGCTGTAAGTGCAGGTGGTGATGATTATTCCCTTGATGTATGTCAAAATGCATTGCTTGAGCTTTGGGACATATCACCGTTGCAGTACGTTAGGGCACTAACATTGTTCAAGGATAAGGAATGGCGAAGGTTTTTTATGCGTACTCCTACTCATTTGCGCCTAGTCATGATCCTCGCTTTGCAGTGAACTGAGAAGTTCTGTTTTGCTTGTGTTAGCAAATTTTCTTGGCTGAACTGTTTGATGATTTCATTATTCCTGATTTGGTTTTTATTTTATTTTTTTTCACTCCATCATATCCTCTTTCCTTTTTTATGTTTGTATGTTTTTTTTTTTTTTGAACTTTTAAGTGTTTTCTGTTATATTAAAACTATGTTATGTTATTATAATATGACCACGTGTTAAATAAATTTTGTTCTCCTCTGAATTTTACTGTTTCACCAATAACGCTAACTGTTACAGCATGAATAACATATTTTATAATTATGTTTTTACTGTGATGTAGACAAAGGCATATGTCATCCGACAGCAAAAACAATACAATGGAGCTCTCATCAGAGGAGGATGAGGTTGTTGATGATTTTATGGATTATTTTTCTCTCAAACCGCACCGACCCGCACCGCGCACACCCCTAGTTGTAGGCTAGCAGAAATGTGAAGAAGTTTAGGACAAATGGGTTTGAATATTTTCAAGAAATGACAGAAATTGTTGAAAATTGTTGTGCCACAGGGGCCCTGTCTCGTGCATCCACACAAGGACCCCTTGACTCAGAAGAAGAAGATGACATGTTAAATAAATTTTGGAACGCTGATGCTGGTGGGAGTAGCGCTGCTGAGGCCATTCCTGTTGACTTATTCGGGGATGAGTATATGGATCCAGCAAAGGGCAAAAGTCACAAGAGGGGCCCTGCAACCAGCCAGACTGACAGTGGTTGTTCCAAAAAGTCACGATCAAGTGGGTTTGATGATGTGTGCGCAGCTTTCGCATCCTATGTACAAGCCAAAACAGGACATTCACGTGCACGAGAAAATGAGACTGAGGCTGTAAGTGCAGGTGGTGATGATTATTCCCTTGATGTATGTCAAGATGCATTGCTTGAGCTTTGGGACATACCACCGTTGCAGTACGTTAGGGCACTAACATTGTTCAAGGATAAGGAATGGCGAAGGTTTTTTATGCGTACTCCTACTCATTTGCGCCTAGTCATGATCCTCGCTTTGCAGTGAACTGAGAAGTTCTGTTTTGCTTATGTTAGCAAATTTTCTTGGCTGAACTGTTTGATGATTTCATTATTCCTGATTTGGTTTTTATTATTTTTTTTTTCACTCCATCATATCCTCTTTCCTTTTTTATGTTTGTATGTTTTTTTTTTTTTGAACTTTTAAGTGTTTTCTGTTATATTAAAACTATGTTATGTTATTATAATATGACCACGTGTTAAATAAATTTTGTTCTCCTCTGAATTTTACTGTTTCACCAATAACGCTAACTGTTACAGCATGAATAACATATTTTATAATTATGTTTTTACTGTGATGTAGACAAAGGCATATGTCATCCGACAGAGAAAACAATACAATGGAGCTCTCATCAGAGGAGGATGAAGTTGTTGATGATTTTGTGGATTTTTTGATGATTGCTTTAATGCATGACCATATCAACACGTCAAGTAGTCGCCGATCGCAGCGAACATGTCCATTCAGAGGTGATGATTACATCTTCGGCCTATTAAATGGCCATCCAGAAACAATGATGAACGTTATGCGAATAGATGCACAAACATTCATTTTATTGAAAGACACTTTACTCCATAATGGCTTTATCGATACTGAACATATGCATATCAGTGTGGAGGAATCGCTTGGAATTTTTTTATACACTTTTGCACAAAATGATCGCCATCGAATAATGGTAAATAGATTTCAACACTCCACAGAAACAATTTGTCGGCACATAAAAATTGTTATACGGGCATTGTGCAAGCTTTCATCATCGGTTATCAAACCACGTAACCTAGAGGACATGCCGGGAAAAATTTTAAATGACGGGAGGTTTTTTCCCTGCTTCAAGGTACGAACAGTATGACTGTCCTGTAAGTTTGTTCATATCAATAAGTGTTAATAAATATTATTATTATTTTTTTAATTATGAAAGTAATATCGAAGTTTGTTTCGCTTTTAATATCAAACAAATATCTGTCAATTAGGATTGTGTCGGCAAATATCTGTCAATTAGGATTGTGTCGGTGCTATCGATGGCACATTGGTGGATGCATGGGTCCCTGCTTCAAGACAAAATACATTCCGCTGTCGGAAAGCAACGGTATCGCAAAATGTACTCGCAGCTTGCGACTTCGATATGTTGTTCACATTTATTAATTCTGGATGGGAAGGTAGCGCTCACGACAACGCTATTCTGGTTGACTCTATTACACGAGCTGATCTACAGTTCCCACACCCATCCAATGGTGACTGTCCCTGAATAACATACGATACACTTTTTTCCTTGTCTGTTTTTGTACATATCAATTGACAGAACTGTGTATTCATTATTTATATGTAGGTAAGTACTATTTAGTTGATGCTGGTTTCACGAACATGCCTGGATTTCTTGCCCCATTTCGGTCTCAACGGTATCACTTGCAAGAGTTTCGTGGCCATCGTTATGCAGGACCTAAGGAATTGTTTAACCATCGACATTCGTCATTACGCAATGTCATAGAAAGAACATTTGGTGTTTTGAAGAAGCGCTTCCCAATATTGCGGTCCATGCCAAATTACAAGTCTACACGACAAGGGCCTCTCGTGATTGCATGTTGTGTAGTGCACAATTGGATCCGTTTGCATGCAGCTATGGATCCATTCTTTATGGAAGCTGATAATGAAATGGCCGTAGAAGTAGAAGTAGACGGGCTTGTTGGAGACCATGCTGACTACGTTGACATGTCACAACATGGGTTAACGTCCCAATCGAACGTTAGGGATGCAATTGCTACTGCTATGTGGCAAAATCATGTTCACCATGCATAGAAAAGGGATGTGAACAAGGCAAGTGAATATCGTACTGACTACTAGTTGTAAATGTGTAATTATTTTACTAATTTCAGTCATTATGACACCGTTACTACATAACTTCGCCTAACCATCATTTCTGTGATTTACTGACTTCGTTTTGTTCTTGACATGATGACTGCAAAAGTGAAAGAAAATTGTATATTAAAACATATGAGAGGTAAGAAAAATGTATGAAAAATATATCAACCATTAGTACATTTTTTGTCCATACAAACTTATTTTTATGTAAAAAATAAATATAAAAAAATTTGGTGACAAAATTTAATTAGGCAGATGCCATAGAAACAGATTTTTGTACAAAAAAAAAAATCATAAGGAATGATATTTCTCATTTATATTGGGTTTGTTTCATACAGTTTATTATAACTTAGAAACTGATAATCAGAAAAATAAATGATAGTGTGACAAAATTAGAACAGAAATAAAAAAATATAACAGATGAAAATAGAACAGATATGAAACAAAGCCAACAGATACAGAGGTGGAATGTTGACTGGGCCGGGATGACCGGCCGGATGTCCCGTGGGATGATCGGCCGGTAGACCGGTGGGATGACCGCCCGGTTGTCCTCCTCTTCCCCTCTCTTACCCCTCTGAAGCTAATGTCTGAAGCTAATATCTGAAGCTAATATGAAGACGAACTGGCATCAAAACTAACCTATAAATTATGGAAGTAGAGAAGGAGGACCTAATGAGATGGTGGATATGCTCTATTTCTCTAATTTTTGTTTTATGATGTAACTGGAGAATGTGTTTCTGAGATGGTGAAGTTGGTGTGGTAAACGGAATGAGATTCAAATTTAATAGAAAGGGTGACGTTCAAACGGTTCATGTTGTATTTTTTTTTATTTACTTTTTATTTGTTAAATATTATTTGTTTTCAATATTATTACTTTTTTAATGATATCACATCCGTGTACTGAGTACACAGCTGCAGTCTCTCCTTTTTCTTTACCTCAGTGTTGAACACACAGCTATGAAACAATAGGGGGTAGGTAGTAAGTAAGTGAAATTACTATCTTACCCTTTATATTTTGTTCTATGTAACCACTTTCCATTTAAGTCAAGAGGGGCATAATAGTCATTTCGTATGTCAATCCCCACAATTATATGAGCTCCACGGGTACAATAATGCATTGCATTTCTGTTACCACATCTGGACGAAATTCATAACATGTAATAAATGGAAAAAAATTTGATAATGTTTTGTAAGATTTACGTTATGATTTGTATTTTAAAATATTAAATTTAGTGTATTTATTCCTTCTTTATTAATATGTATTTTCAAAAGTTGTTGACTTTAACAAAATGTTAGAAAAAAATTAAAAACGTATTTTACAAATGAATTGATAGAAAAATTAATTGAAAGAAAATAATTGACATAGGTTTATTTTAAAATGAAAAAATTATTTCAAAAAAACAATTATTCAAAAAAATTACAAAAAAAAAATAATTGACAAAAAAAATCAATTTTTAATTTCAGTGTTTTAAAAATAGTTTGGTTATTATTGTTGATAAAAAATATGGATATCAATATATGAGTTGTGTGTTTGATGATAAATTATTGGTTGAATTAAGTTTTGATTTTTATTTTCAAAACACATCACCAAACAAATTTTCACCTTTCACATGTCACATCAAACTTTCAAAACTTAATTCAAAATACATTTTCAAAACACAATTCAACACTCTATTTAAAAACCATAACCAAATAAATTTTCTACACTCAAATCATAATTCTACAACCCACAAACTCAAAATACAACTCATACTCTCAAATCACATTTACAAAACACAACCAAACGCAGGCTAAATTTTTTGTAAAACAAAATAAAATATTTAAAATAAAAATTATATATTTAAATAAAAAATTCAATTTTTTAATATTTAAAAAATTGTAGCACAAAAATATATGAAATATAGTGCATATTAAAATAAATAAATAAATCCTAAAAAATAAAATTAAGAAAATTTTTAAATATTTTAAAAAATAAATTTTAAAAAACAACCCAAAACTCAAAATATAACTCAATATTTTTTTCAAAATTCATAACCAAACAAATTCTCTTTTCAAAATTCAATTCAAAACTCGTAACTCGAAATACGATTCCACGCTCAAATCATGATTTTAAAAATAATTTTTAAAAAAATAAAAAGTATTTTTTTTAAAATGGAATTTTGGAAAGAGTTTGGTTTTGAGTTTTGAAAAAAAATTTGAATTTAGTTTTAAATTGTGTGTTTGGTTATAAGTTTTGAAAATAATTTTTGAATTGAGTTTTAAGTAATTTTGAGTTGTGTGCTTGGTTATGAATTTTAAAATGTGTTGTGAAAATTGTGTTGGAATCATAATTCCAACACATAACCAAACGTGGCCTTAATTTTTCAAAGCTTCAAATCAAAATCTAATTTATCAATCAAAACCCTAACTTTTCAATCTAGATTTGAAATTAGATTTGAGAGTTTGGAGGGCGAACCTGATCCAATCTATGGCGTGAAAGTGGACAACAATGGCTAAGTTTCAGCATTCTTCTCAAAAGATTTCTTTTTCTCTTTTCGTTTCGCTCTGGTGTACAACATTGGCCGATGGCGGTAGACGACGGAAGATAGTGCTTGCCGGTGGAAAACGCAGATGATGGTAATTGTGCTTGATAGAATGCAGGTGCGTCTCCCTCTCCCTCTCTCTTCATTTCTTTTCTGCTTCTATTTTACGTTTTAATTTTGTATTTTTTTAATGGGAAAAACGAATGCTCTAAGAGATTTAATTCCATGTTATGCACATACAGAGTGTTTTGTTCCTTTAGTTTTGAAGAGTTACTGATGTGGCAACTTTTTAATGGATGTTGTAAAACCCATCTTTCACGCTTCATCCGTGAATAATTGTTTAGACCAAAAATGTTAACTGGTAGCAATGTAGTAAAGGTTTCATTTGGAATGCGAGTTGATTTTTTTATCAACTTTTTAATTATTTGAGTTTAGGTTAAAAAATTTTGTTTGGGTTGGGTTTTTTTGGATTTTTAATTTTTATGAGAGAAAAAGTAAAAGGATTATGGTTTAAAAATGACATTTTGTTTTATTAACTTTTTATTCTATTTTATCTTTTTGTAGCTATTTTAGTCTTTTAATCTCAAAAACCTTTAGGCTAAACGAGAGGCAAAATAAAAAAAATTACACTTTGTTCCAGCAAAATTAATAAATTACACTTTGTCATTTTAAGTTGGGTAAATTACACTTACCTCCCCTGAGTTTTAACTTAATTGCAGATACCTCATGTAGTTTCAAAAATTACATAAACCTCCCTTACTTTGAAAATAATAGTCAGATTTCTCCTTCTGTTAAAAGCACATTACTAAAGTAATAAAGAAAAAGTGACATCAGCCACAATAAACGCTCAAATACCCAAATACCCTAATACCCTTCACATCATTTATAAAACAATTCACATCCTTTTAACCATTTCCCTCCAATCTTTCAGTACCTATTAACTTTCCCTCCAAACTCTCTCTCTTTCTCTCTCTCTCTCTCTCTCTCTCTCTCTACAACCGTGCTTGACATGGATGAAGATTTCATGTGAGCTCTCTCTCTCTTAGTTCTTTGTATATCTTTTTTTTTTTTGGTGAACTATGTATTTTTTTTTTTTTTGTATGCCCATGCACAAGTACAGTGATATGTTATTCTCAAATAATGGAACCAACATACTGAAATATAGAAGCAAATCATGTCTTTGTGGTCAAATGATAGCTATCAAGGTGACATAATCTGAAAGAAACAAAAACAAAGAAAAGTTGTATTATGTTTATTCAAAAAGAAAATGCAAATTTTGGGATTGGTGCAAACTTGTTAACTCAACTAAAGAAGCTATTGATACAGTTGAAAGGCCACTACCTCAATGCAATTTCAAGGATGTGCATACAAAAAGTTCAAATATTTGAAGACAACCAAGGAAATATGAAGCTACTAATAATCATAAGTTTGGTCATAAGTTTGTTTACATTACAAAATAACCTACTCATCATATGTAAAGTTTGTTCTATGGGTTATGTAATGCAAGTATATCCAAAAAAGAGAAACTTGTGGTAGTTTTTGTGTAATGAAATATGTAAAGCCTGTTCTATTTAAGTGTAAGACAGTAAGCTTGTAGTAGTTTTTGTGGAATGAAAGCATGGCAAATCCCAAAATATGAGTGCTTCATACCTATGTTACCTGAAAACGCTAATACCCTAGTGATTTACGTATCGGTAAGCACGTTCTGAAATATGGTGCATTGTCGTTCCAAAACGGTAAATTTAGTGATCCGAAGCGATCCTAAAAGTTTTTTCCAATATATTTCTTTAAATGTTACTTTAGGAGAAAAAAAAATCAAATATTTGAACTAAAATCTAAGGTGAGAAGTTTTGACGAGACAAAAAAATCAAAAGTTAGTCATAATTTTCATAGAAATGATTTGCTACATGAAAATAAGAAAAAAAAAGAAAAAAAAATTGGATACCTAATAGCTAAAAGAAATTTACTCTACAAGTACTTTAAATTCTTAAGTGTAATATATATAAGTCTACTCCTATTGCACCATATTTTAGAGCATATGACATACCACGTTCCCATTCCCGTTCCATGTACCAGAACGATCCACGTTCTAGGTAACATAGCTTTATATATATATATATATAAACAAGTTCAAATATCAATGCTTCATAGTTAGTTCATAGATGCTTCATAGTTATTTCACTATTACAGCCCAAAAAAGTGTATAAATGCTTCATAGTTCCATCTCCAAAAAGAAGCAATCACTACCTCACAGTTAAACAAAAAAGTGCCTATATCTCTATATCTTCATATACAAAAGTATGATCAAGATGCCTATAGCAAAAAAACAAAAGTAGATGCATCATCCTACAGCTCAATAAAGCACCACACACTATGTACTATATATTCTGTACCTGTTCATTGTCCAACATATGTACCAAAAACTATCATTAAGTAGTCAAGTTATTTGATTCCAAGCCATGCATATGCTTCATTTGAGGTACCTTGAATGGTTTGCATAACCTCATCATATGCCCTATAATTCCAAGCCCTTGTTGTCTTCCAAAAGTTCTTCCTCAAGATTACTCCAAAAAATTTAGCCCTAAAGCTGTTAAACAAATGCATACAACATCTTCTATGGCTAGCCTCTGGTAGGATTTCACTAAGAATTTTGTCAAGACCTTTTTGTCTATCAGACATGATGGTCCAAGGCCTAGTGGGCAATGCATTACTAAGTATTGTTCTAAAGTGTTCTAGGAAAAATGTCCAGCTCTCCTTACATTCACACTTAACTACTCCTAATGCTAGTGGAAACAACCTATTATTTCCATCTAGAGCAATTGCTAAAATTAGCACTACACCATAAGGACCTTTCAATTGATAGCCATCTACCTCTATAAAGGGTCTACATTCATTAATAAACCTTGTTTTCATTGCCTCAAATGAAATGAATAATCTTTTAAACACTGGGTTAGAACTAATTATACTCTTTTCATCCGATGTGGGTTCATCCTCTGAGATTGGCTTGGGTAGGTAATCATAATTGATCTTCACAAAACGACCAGGATTTGTCTTCTTAATCTCTGCAGCATATGTTGGTAATAGCACATATTGGCTACCATGATTACCCTATGTTTCATTTCTACATCTTTTTAAAGTTCTATACAGCTGTATCTTTGAAGCATTAACCTCATACATCTTATTTAACTTGCCTTGCATTGTATCCAACTTCATGTTTGGATTTTTTTTAACATTGTCACTCAATTTTTTTACTATCCAATCTGAAGTTGCCTTAGTATTTTGGTTCAACCTATTGTGAGAACCCGAATATACAAATCAAGTAAATAATTAAATAATAATAATTTTACAATCTCAAATATTTTGATGTTGAATCCTAAAATGCAAATTAAATATTTGGAGGGTCTTTTAATTAATTTTAAACCTAAAATAAATTTATGGTGAAAGTCTTTAATTAAGAGGCAAGATTTATTATTAAAAAAAAAATGTGTAGAGAGAAGGGTGTGACTTGAACTCTAGACCATAAGGTTAATAAATAAGGCTTTTACCAGTTGAGTTGCATATAACTTATATATATATATTTATCTATTTATTTGACCTATGTGTGCCCACTACTAGTATAAAATAAAATAAACACAAACCCCACTCTCTTATTTGTTCACAACACTAACAGTCCTAGCAGCCAGCCGTGGGTTTATGAAGAAAGGTGAGGGGTGGTTCAATCATCAAGATTATTGTTGTAGCCAAGAAGGAGAGCTTTGTGTGTGCTGTGCCTTGTGGCCTCTTAGGTTTTCTTCTCTTCTTTCTTCGTTCTTTATCCTTATTCTATTGTTATTTAATTCATTGATGGAGAGGTTGTAGGTGTATGATACTGTTAAGAAATCTGAGGAGTTGTAATTCTTAGTCCAAAAATTTTGTACAAAATCACAAACTTTAAAAATCAAGAAATCATATCAAACGAATGAATTTTGAATTGAAATTTTTGTAGTAGATTAATTACATATTGAATTGCATATCTGAATTTTTTCATAATTTTTGGGATTCAAAAGCCATATAAACTGATGCATTCAAATCTGTCCAGAAAATTGGTTTAAAACAGTAAATTCGGGAGTGTTGTTCTCTTTGGGTATAAATTCGAAAATCTCAAATCAGTGTTATTAGAACCGGTTACAAGTCTAGTTTCGTACGTTTTTGGCTTTGCGTTGATTGCTCATGTATACTAAGAGAACCATTAATTTATTTAAAGTGTTGCAGAAAACAACCGGTTTGGGCATAATTAATTGTAAATAATTATTTTGATAAGCAAATCAAGTGAAACCATTTGGGTTTGAAACTTAGGATATATTAGTTGATATCTGGAGGGTTTTGGAATTTTTTGAAAGTGTAGAGTGGGTTTTTAATTTTCAAAGTTAGGGAATAGATTGGGAAAACTAGTTTAAAATTCTATTTTATCTTAAAGTTACTTTTAATTAAGTTTCGATTTGAACCCATGTCTTGGGTGATTTTAGACCTTGAAGAACATGAACTTAAGTAATATTTAAGAGTAACGGTGAGTTGGGTTGAGCCGTGTTAGTGCACTTTAGTTTAGGGTTACTTAGTTTATTATTCCTTTTAGTATGTTTGAATTAGTAGTGATGTATAGTTTTAATACTTTGTTCAGAGCACTAGTTGGACTTTCATACTTTATTTGAGGATTATATTATATCGTGTTCAGGTGAGTAGTTTCATGCTACATATTTTTATAAATGTTCCCCTACCCTGAACTGTTGGAAAAATTAAATTGTTGTTTCATGACTAAACTGTTTTGATAAATTATTATATTACCAATGGAATCAAATTATTTCTGAAACATGTGTGAACTTGGCATATTGTAAACTATTTGTTTTGGTCTCATGTTTATAATGATGAACTACCATGTTTTGCGGAACTAATGTGTATTGATTATTAGGACCATATGTGCATTTAGTCCAGGAAAATTATTCCACTGTGTGTGGTGACTCTGGCCACTAGGGAACAGATCCGGGTTGGGCCGTGATGACTCTAGTGCTCAACGATTGTAAGGAAAAGACCTAGGTTAAGTTAGGTGACCTTCAATCGGATCGTCTTAGAGAAAAGGCCCAGGTTGCCACCCTGAGGATGACTCTTATAGCCTTGAGAACTGTGTGGCATATTACTTGTTATTTCTTGGTACCCAGAAAATTATTGGTGTTCATGTTATAATGTGTTTTAAGTGGAAAAATGCCATTTATCATGTTCTTGAGAGACATGAGTATTTTAAGTGTTGAACTGTGGAACCTTTTTTTTGAAATAGATTGTATTTACCAAACTGTATGCCAATCTAGTTTTTGTGATATATATCTTATTTTGGAATTTATCCCTGTTTTCAAAACTGTATTTACTATCCATGTTGCTACTTACTGAGCTATCAGCCGACTTAGTTTTTTTTATCACTGCCAGGTGTTAGAAGGACTTAGAGTGGATTTATGGTGTAGCGGGGACTCAAATGCATGGACCTCTAGGTCATTCATTTATTTTGTTTTAGATTGTTATGTCAAGTTTGTGCATATTTCTCTTTATTTTGTGGGAGATTTGTGTGCTCCATTTAGGATATATTTTTGGAAGTTGGTTATGGTTGCTTTTACCATTTATAATTGGGACTTGTCACTGGATTGAGTTTTGATTTATTTATTTTTGGGCTATCATTAAATTTATTCTTCGTGATTTTTTTTTTTGGTTCATGTTAAGGCTTACGTGTGCCTTGGGCTTAGTCCCTGTGGGCCACGACCGGTCATACCCGGATTTGGGATGTGACACCTACTGCATGTATACTGGGGAACTAGGGTTTTTATCTTGTAAGTTATCCCATCTGGACGAGGGGATGCATGAATCCACCAAGGACATCCATCAACAGTATAGTGGGCAGTTACCCTAGACTTCTCATTTTTGTCCCTCACAATCTTGAACCCATTTTCCACGGTATAATCTTGGGTAAATTACCAATAGGTCCTAATAGTTGAACTTAATTTTCATCAAGTCCTATTGAAAATAAGTCTTAGTAAAATTGTTGCTAAAAGTAATTTTTATGTGACAATTTTTTACATATGTCGTTAAAAATTAACAATTAGTGACTTTTTTTGTCATGAGCACTTGTTTTCTTGCATGATTCTTCAAAATTGAAGAGAAAACTCCATAGATATGGAGGAGGAAGCTGTTGCTGACTAGAAGACGACAATCCCCGTCGAGAACATAAAGAGGAAGAAGAAAAGAAGTGATTGTAATCAGAGGAGGAAGGAGGAAGAGCAACAAAGAAGTCACAATAATGACTTGCAGGTAAATGCGACTTCTCCCGACTTTCAGACAGTTGTTAAAGAAGAAGAAGACATGGAAAACAAGGCAAAACCTATATCCTCATTTGAATTAAAGAATGTTATCTTAGCTTTTAAGAAAGGGGGATGCAAGAGAAAGAGAAAGAGGAAGAGGAAGAGTAAGATGAGCAAAGAAAAGGAAGAGGAACCGAAAGCAAGTCACAATGATAATCATGGCAGATGAAGTCTTGACACCTGTAGATAAGTTCAACTTCTCCCCACTTTCATAGAATTGTTCAAGAAGAAGGCAGACATTTTGATGAGCTTATTGTCTACTCAATTAATTCAAATATAGATGTAAAAGCATTCACTGAATCCAATGAGACTAACGGGCATCTACAACTAGGCAGTTCAGCTGTGTTTTCAGCAGAGATTAGTGCAGGTGGTGGCATTAAAAAGAGGAGAAAGAAGAGTGAAAAATCTAGAAATACCCTAGATGTTGATTTGTGATTATGTATAAATTTTAAGCAGTATATAACAATCCCAATCAAACAATCAAGACAAATCGACACAACGATTTTACGTGGAAAAATCACAATTGAACACCTCCAATTGTGATAAAAAAATCACGGGCAACAGCCACAAAACAATCCACTAAGAAGATATATATGAATTACACAGGTATACTCTCAATTACCTAGCGAATCCACGCTCGAATTGAACTAACCTCTATGTGTCTCTTCCAATCCCGTCTTCACCTTGGAATTGTCTTGACGATGAGCCACTCCGGAATCCACCAAAGCTTCAGGCTCGAATTCTTCAGAATCCACCGAAGAACAACTCTTTCTTTTGTGTAGAATAAACAAACAAACCTTTGATGTATGCTTCTTAAATCATGAGTTGAATACTCAATGAAAACATCAAAGAAAACTAGCAAAAAATCCACAAATATAAACCTTAGAACCCAAAAAGAAGATCTGGAGGAGTTAGACCAAGTTTTGGAGGAGTTAGACCAAGTTTTGGGAGAAAACCAACTACTTATAGAAATCCAAAGTAATCCTAGTTTTGGAAGAAAACCAATTCCTTATAGAATCTGTGTTCGCGCGGTCCGCTCGAGCGTGGGAATTCCCGCTTGAGCGGAGGCTTCAAAATTGTGTGATTCATATAGGCTTCACGCTCGAGCGTCGAATCACACCATCCAGTACTTTTTCAGGTGAAGCAGAGATACTGTGAGCTTGCAATCCCTGCTCGAGCGTCACTTTCCCCGCTCGAGCGAGGAGACCAAAACTGGAAAATCTAGAAAACTAGATCCTGTTACAACCTCGGTTTTGATCCATGGAAATTGACAAAGGCACGATTCGGGTTGGATTCATATCTAATAAATTCATAGCCTCATTGAAATAAAAGGTGCGAAAACAAATACAAATTAAAGGAGTTTTGTCAAACGGGATTGTCAAGAATAAAACCTAACAATCTCCCCCTTTGGCAATGCCGTGACAAAACACACCTAACAAATAAAATCCTAAATACCCCAACCCATTACAGCCAACAAAACCCAACTTCTTTCTCAAGGTCATGATCTGCAAAACAGTTATTAGTGCCACAATCTCCAAAACAACTATTAGTCCCACAAGAGTATATGAAAAAACAATAGACATATGACACGATTATCTTGAAACATGAGATGAAAAACATGAATAGATGAAAACTAAGACTCATGAAAAACAACTCTTAAACAACAAAAGTAAGATCATAAACCAACCCAAGTCAAGATGAACCAAACTCCCCCTCACTAAAAGCAACCACAAACACTATAAACAGTGAGCAAGAAGAAAATGACAAAAATAATATGGTGGAGCAAACAAGGAATTTTAGATTTATACCTTAAAACACACAAGATTATCCAAGAAGCACAATTACTAGTAAACACAATGTGCATAGTCTGTAGAAGATTCCTCATGAAAGAAAGTGATGCATTATGTGAAAAGCATAGATCCCATGATAAAAGTGTGTGTGTGACTCTTGGAATTCGACAAACACTAGATTCAATCCTAGTAGTGATCTGAAAATTGGACCTCCGTCAAGAGAATTTAAACACAACAAAGGAAAGTCAAACCACTAGGAATCAAGGGGTATTGGTGAGTAAAGGCGGAGGCTCCCCCTTAATCAATGAATCCTTTATTATTATTTTTTTTACATCTTTTTCTTTTCTTTCTTTTGCATACTTTTTTCTTCTTCTCTTTCTCTTTCTTTTTCTTTTGCACATTCATTGGCGGCTGACACGCTCAAGAGTATGGAAACCGAACCAGAGAAGCATGAATATAATAAGGATGGCCTGGTTGGTGACTCTAAGGTAGCCTTTTCCTCATGGCTGGACTACAAAAAATAGAGGGGAAAGCTGTGGAGATGCAAAAAGATAGTAGGTGGTTAAGAGACTCAACATCACCCATGATATGCTAGTATAGGTCAATTCCTCTAGAAACGCAAAAGATTAATGACAGAAGTCCATAGAAAAAAAAATCACTAAGGCGGAAAACTCCAAAATTTGCTAATCCAAGAGTGTGTACAGAATGAGACATACTAATCAAAAAACACGCACTCCAAAATGAGTAATGACCATAGAAAGCACACATATATTAACATGTAATGGATATTCTCATCAATTCCAATATGCACCAAGGACCACTCAAAAATTTCAAGCTTGCAAAATCATACTAAGAAAATCTTTTTGGGATTTTTTTTTTCCAAAAATAAAGCAAGACAAAAAAAATGAACAAGCACACATGTAATGACAAAAAAAATACCCAGAAACCCAAAAACTAAAATGACAAAACAAATTAACACAAGTCAAGTTTTCTCACCCAAACTGCTTTAGTATGAACAAAGTTGTGAGAATTGCAGTTCTTGGGTGGTGTCTTGACGTTGTGATTCCTTTCTCCTGCAATGGGAACCCATCTCGACTTGGCTTCCAACTTTCAATTTTTAGGTCTAGGCAAATACATTCACACATGCAACTTATAACAATAAGGGCGAATATGACCATGCATACCACAATGATGACAAATAAAAACAGGGTGTACAGGGTGTACTTTTTTTTGCTCTTTCTTACCACCAAAGCCAATGCCACTCTTGTCACAACTCATTTGTTGAGACCCAATGATATTCTCCAAAGTCTTTGATCCTTTGTTCCAAAGACCAACGGTAACCATGGCACACTTGAGTTCTTCTTTTTTCTTGATCATTAGTTCTTCCAAAGCAACTTGAGACATCTCGAGAGTTTCAATTTTTTCTTCATATGTTGCATAGATTTCCTGTAGCTCATTCCTTTCTGTCTCACAAGTCAAGAGTTTTGCACAAAGAGCTTGTCGATCATTAGCTATCTTGATGGCATCAATCCTAGCCTCGAAAATCTCCTTTTTTAGTTTGATATTCTCACTTTCACATGCTTTGAGTTTCATAGTGAGTTTGTCATTTAATTTGGATAACTTAAGAGATTCCTTATACAACTTTTCATAAGCTTGCTCAAGCTCTTCATCATCACTTCCCGAGGATTCATCATCAGTGGCATTCTCAACTGAGCTCTTCGGAGACTCTGTTCGTCCTTCAGTTTCGGAAGCCGCCATGAAAGTAAGGAATTGTTTATGTCCCTCTTCGCCTTGATCTTCGTTGTCACTTTCATCTTCATCAGATTCTGATTCATCATCCCAAGTGATGACGAGGGCTTTCTTCTTCCTCAACCGAGTGGGGCATTCTTGAGCAAAGTGGCCAAATCCTTGGCATTCATAGCATTGGACTCTTTCAGAGTTTCCTTGTATCTTTCCTTTCTCCTTCTTGGCTATAAAATTAATTTTGAGTTTATCTTTGCCTTTGGATTTATGAGTATGAGTAGAGTCCAAAAGATTAGGATTCTTTTTTAAAAAAGATTTTTTAAATTGTTTAACAAAAGTAGCCGTAATCTTGAAATCTATCTCACAATCCTCATCAGAATCATCTCTAACTCTATGAGCACTACTAAAAGCAATATCTTTTTGTTTCTTTTTGAAATTCCTATGTGCTTCATAAGTTTGGAGATTTCCAACCAACTGATCTAGCTTGAGGTTGTCAACATCTTGAGCCTCCTCAATAGCCGTAACGTTTGGTTGGAACTGATCGGGCAAGGATCTCAAAATTTTTCCACAACTTTGGATTTTGGTATTTTTTTACCTAAATTGAAGTTGGAATTTAAAATGTCACTCAACTTCGTATAAAATTCGTCAAAGGTTTCACTATCTCTCATTGAAAGGTTTTCGAAACTAGATGTGAGCCTTTGAAGTTTTGAGCGTTTCACAGAAGGAGTACCCTCATGAATAGTTTGTAAGATATCCCAAGCCTCTTTTGCGACTTCACAATTACAAATACGACTAAACTCTTCAGGTGGTAAGATATCCCAAGCCTCTTTTGCGACTTCACAATTGCAAATACGACTAAACGCTTCAGGTATGACAACGCAAAAGAGAGAATTGATAGCTTTACTATTCAAGCTACTATTTTGGTAATCAATTGTGTCCCACTTATCAATTGATTTAGGAAAAGTTACTCAATCAATGGTAATTGTCGGTTCAGTCCACCCATACATGACAGATTACCAATCTTTTTCATCAATAGATTTTAAAAACGATCTCATCTGAGCTTTCCAAAACGAATAATTGGATCCGTCAAGTAGGGGTGGTCGAACCATAGAATTTCCCACACGAATTGAATCCATTATCACAAATCAAACAAGATCTCGTTCTAAAAGAATATATATATATATATATATATATTTTTTTTTTTAAAAAATAGAACGACCTGCTCTGATACCAATTGAAAAATCTAGAAATACCCTAGATGTTGATTTGTGATTATGTATCAATTTTAAACAGTATACAACAATCCCAATCAAACAATCAAGACAAATCGACACAACGATTTTACGTGGAAAAATCACAATTGGACACCTCCAATTGTGATAAAAAAATCACGGGCAACAGCCACAAAACAATCCACTGAAGATCTGGAGGACTTGTCCAAGTTTTGGGAGAAAAACCCACTACTTATAGAAATCCAAAGTGATCCTAGTTTTGAAAGAAAACCAATTCCATATAGAAATTCAAAGTAATCCTAGTTTTGGAAGAAAACGAATTCCTTATAGAATCTGTGTTCGCGCGGTCCGCTTGAGCGTGGGAATTCCCGCTCGAGCGGAGGCTTCAAAATTGTGTGATTCATATAGGCTTCACGCTCGAGCGGAAGTTTCCAAGCTCGAGCGTCGAATCACACCATCCAGTACTTTTTCAGGCGAAGCAGAGATGCTGTGAGCTTGCAATCCCCGCTCGAGCGTCATTTTTCCCGCTCGAGCGGGGAGACCAAAATCGAAAAATCTAGAAAACTAAATCTTGTTACAACCTCGGTTTTGATCTATGGAAATTGACAAAGGCACGATTCGGGTTAGATTCGCATCTAATAAATTCATAGTCTCATTGAAATAAAAGGTACGAAAATAAATACAACTGAAAAGAATTTTGTCAAACAAGATTGCCAAGAATAAAATCTAACAAAGAGAAACAAGGATAAAAGAATACAACCTCAAGGCAGTTACTCTATGTTCTAAAAAATTCTCATGTGAACAAGAGAGGAATTACACTCGTAACGAGGGAACAAAAAGGGAGGGCGACTCAACTTCCTCTCACTTTCAGCTAGTTGTTAAAGAAGAAACGAAAGGGGTGGATGGACCTGTTGTCTCCTCAATTAATTTAAATACAAATCCAGGAACATTTACTGTACCCACCACGACTTGTGGAAAACTAGCCAGTGAGGCTGTGTTTAGAGTGGAGATTGATGAGAGTCATCGCAATGGCAGTGGCAGTGGCAGTGGCAGTGGCAATGGCCAGAGGAGAAAGAACAGAAAGGAGGGCAAACATCACGAGAAAACTTCAAATGAGTGCAGTGATGGAGAAAGGGGGATGATATCTGGTTCCTCTATTAAAGTGGAACTTACTTCTCCCATTATTGCCATTAACAGTAACCAAAATGAAGTCAGTGGGGCTGTGCATTTGTTTGACCATAATGAGGAAGATGTCAAGAAGAAGAGGGGAATGGATGATGGCTGTTGCTCTAAGGACTTGAATTCCGAGATAGTGTCTCCATATCCCCCAAAGGGAGTGGAAAAAGTGATAAATGTGTTGGAGAAGACTAGGCAATCCAGTTTTTTGATTAAGGGCAAGGTTAATACCCTTAAACCAGTTAATAATGGTGAAGACATTGTAGTCAATAGACCTCGGATTGAGGATGTGTTATCACAATTTATATACAAGGGTAGCTTTCAGCAAAATGGTCAGGACAATAACTGTGTTAAATCACCGGTTCTCCATCCTCATAGTGAGAAGGTTACAATTAAAGAAAATGGGGATGTAGAAGACAATAAACAGAAGAGAACGGAATCCTCATTTGTTGCTAAGAAGAAGATCGACCCATTCAGTTCCACTAATATGAAGGGAGGGGAGGAAAATTTGAATGAGACAGTAAGTGAAAAGATCTTATCCAAAAAAATAAGAAAGGATGAAAAAGGTAAGAAGAAAGCACATGAAAAAGTTCGGGTGGTTTCTAGTTACTTCAATACTTCGACAGGGAAACAAGTGATGCCAGACGAGGAAAAACATCTAAAAATCAAATTTCCCAAACAATGCATGAAGAAATGTCCCACAGAAGTGCGGATTTCCCACTACTTTCACAATGTATCACCAATGGAAGAAGAGAATGCAATTTCTGATTCATCGGAAAGTCGAACTGAATGCATAGTACTGCCCAAGAAAGCCCAAAGAGCAACATTGGTTAAACTTGTTCTTTCTGCTGCTCAGAATCGAGGTCAGGCTTACAAAAGAAGAACTCCAGATAACACATGGAAGCCTCCACGCTCTCCTTTCAGTCTCCTCCAAGAGGATCATGCCCATGATCTTTGGAGGGTCTTGGTCATATGTATGCTTCTTAATCGGACAACTGGTGTGCAGGTATTTTGTTGTCCTTTTCTTTAGCTTTCTGAACTTCATTAGTGGAATAATTGGTTTTGGTATTTTTGTAACCCATGCTTATGATACTGCTGCAGCAGCTACCTTGACAAATTATTTCACTATTTGTGAGAAATGTCAAAAAATAATTTTGACAAAATGAGTGATAACACTCTTCAGGGAGTCAATAGACCAATTCTATGAGGATCTCTGCATGACACTAGATAAATACTTCTCCAAATTGCACAAATTATTAGGGACACTACCTGGTGAGGAGCAAAGAATGATTTATGTGTGTCACCTAGTCTTACACAACTAAATTATAGCGTATCTAAATATTCTGCACAATTTGAGTGTCTTAAGAAAAGAGGAGACCTTAGTATTCAACTTTAGATTATTGTTAAACAATTACTTAATGGGTTCAATGGGTTAAGAAAAAATTGTAGAGAGATATTGCCCTCTTATACGGTTGTTTTGGGAATTAGCTTTTTTATTGGCTTTAGGCTTTTTACGAAAAGACGTGCAAAAAAGTAGAGAGAATAGTGGACTTTTACAAAAAGAGTTGACATTATCTACCTACAAAATTCACCATTATAAGTAGCTCCTAGCAAGGTGTCTACTAAGGCTCTACCTAGTCATTTGTTGTTGCACCTTTGCTAGTCCTATCCTATCAATAGCATAACCCTCGAGCGTCAAGGTGTCCTCGAATTGAATCACCACCTGTTACAGCACTCGAGGAGCAACCTGTTGAATCAATGACAATGCAAAATATTGATCTAATCATTGATTCTACTGCTGATGAGAATACTTATGGGTGTGTCATATTGATGTCGAACAAAATTCACTACAGCTGCGTCACATATCCTATACTCCTGCTGAGTTTGTCACTCTTAACTGTCGTATCCTCTTATCTGAAGGGGTTGGACAACTTATCCCGATGCAACACTTTTATTGCAAAATTCCAAAAATGACCTCCTTAGGATAACTTATTCACCTAATCCTGTCCGCAAATCAAAAATCACCTTGACATTATTCTTGACCATTCACCTAATAAGTATGTTAAAACCATGTTTCTTTTAAAACCATGTTTCTTTGCCTAATACTAATAGTTCACTTGAGGATAAAACTACACCCAGTTTAGTCTCTATTTGATGGGGGTCTGGGAGGGCTACATTGGGTACAATCCTAACATTTGGCATAATTTGCACAAAGTGGCTGCCCTCAGTTTCAAACCCACAACCTCAAGGTAGGCTGAGTTTTAACCACTAAGACAGTGGTCACTTATTGAGGATGTTCGTGGTGGCATAATAGTTCTCTTGAGGACTATGAAGCATGGACACTTCTAAGAAAGTGGCAGATCTGTGTTGTGTCCTTGTCGGACATTTTCCGACATGTGTAAGACACTTGTCCAAATCCCATTATTTTTTGCTTTCTTAAGACCTAGACACTCGTCCATCATTTTGACACACATGAAACTAATTATAAGTTTAAACAAAAATAACCTAGGGTACAAAGATAAAGAAAAATAAAAAAGATTTACAAAATTTAGTATTATGTTGCATTTTTCTATTATCTTTGAATGATATATTCATACATATGACATATAATAAATATGTGAAACTATATATTTTGTGTGTTCCCCATATATCAAATCCTACATTTTTTGAAAATTGCCATGGCTGTGCGTGTGTCCGTGTATATGCTTCTTAGTTTGAGGATGTTCTTGATTATTTTAAGCATCAAGGCATAACCAATACACCTTTGTGTCAAGTTTATTCTCCATCCAACTATTTTATGTTGACATCTAATGGGTACATCTGTGTTATTCTGGATTGTGTGTGGACCCAGTGCACATTTTAGTGATTTACCATTGAGTTTAAATATTGGTCCAGTGTTTCAAATGAAGAATTTATTACTAGATCAAGGCACCTTGGAGCCTCTTTTTTTGTTTGTTGGTGTTTTTATAGGGATTGCTACATTTCTACCACGAACATGTTCTTCTATATGTTTTATTTTAGTCATTTTATGGATGCCTAACCATTAATGCTAGAGTGTTCATGCAAACTTTCTTTTTTTAATAATAGTTTGGGGCTTCTTGATCTTGACTTTTTGAGGGCGTATTTCTTTGCTTCCCCAAAACGTGAGCTACACCTTTTGAAGTACTTTTCATATCTCAACTCTTCTGACTAGAGTTTTTCTTATCCAGGGAGAAATGATAGGGAGAGAAAATGAATTGGATGGATAATAGTTGGAGAATACAAATTTTAGTTTTAATATGATTTTCCTGGTTTTAATATTTCTTATTTTCTTTTTGTTTCCTAATTTGATTGATAGCGTTTATTAATCTACTACATATACGGATGTGACATTTGTTCAGCAAGATTGGTTACTGGAAAATACAACTTTTCTCTTTCTAGAATTCCCTCTATTGTTTTCCTCTGATTCTACACCAATTAGTCAGAAATCTTAAGGAAGGTCAGTGTGATTTACCCTTTTTTACCCAACCCCAATACCCTGCTTATATCTTTCTTAATTGTAGAGTGCATAAAATTTTGTTGCATAAGTGCAACTACACATTGCTGAAATTCTCTCTTTCAAAAGTACAACATTCTTTTCTTTAATAGGGTGTCTTTGAAAATGTTTTGGTTGCTTACTTTCTATTTCCTTCATAATTACATCTATGTATTATGTTAGATGGACTCTTCTAAATTTGTGAAATACCCTTGTTGAACTCTAACACTGTGGAACAGAGGGTCTATATATGATACGCATATGGCATGCTTAGTTGGACATGCACCCACTAAATAGTTTTGTTTGTTATATAACTATGCTTAATACTCACATTTTATGCACAAAATGCTCTAATATGTTAGTTTGTAAACACCATTTTGTCTTAAAAAATATAAAATCTAGCCACGTCTTAGTGTCCTTAGATGAATCCAACACTCGAGTCCTGTCATGGTGACAAGTCATGATAAGGATCAAAGTTTGCTTTAGTTTTGTGGACACAAGCACAAGCAATTCAGTTTGACTTGGATGTGCAGTGTTGGTGATTGTAAAGTTTTTAATTCCTTAAGAGATGGACAAATAGTTTGATGTTTGTTTGGATGTGTGTGGTAAAATCAGGAATATTATTAGTGGAGAAAGTATAATTGTATAGTGAGAGATTCCTGAATAGTTCACCTATTTCTAGTCAATTCCTTTGTTTTATCTTAAATGTTTACTAAAAAGGCTCCTCTTTTTCACAAATAAATAGAAGCAAATTCTCGTCCATTTAAGTGTCTAATCTGGTGCGGAGAGATTCAAACTAAATGTGTGAAGGGAAAAAAAAATCCATTGTTGGAGAGAATGTCTTTGTAGGTGTGTTTATTTGGAAAATTTTACCGTTTGCTCACATTTTGTATCTTCTTTACTAGTTTGACCTAAGGTGATGGTGACAACTACTTTTTGACGTTAATTTTCTTGATATAGATACAAGGTCTCAGATACTATAATTCCTCAAGAGCTCGACAATAAGGTGAAGCTATGTATTTGTGTACGTGAATTATGTGGAAAAGTCATTTTCAGAATATAAGAAAATTAAAGTACTAAGTGTAGCTTACAGTAGATTCTTTTTTAAAACAAGGTCTCTCATTTTCGAAGCGGAAGTGGATTCCCCCCCCCTCCCCTCCCCTCCCTTTCTTTTATAACAAGTGTCCACCATGGTGGGTTTACACTGGTAAATGAAGGGATTGTTTATTGGTGCAAAGTGTTTGTAGTATCATTATCTACAAATAAAGATTAAGTAGGGAGAACTGTTCAAAATCACGGTTAGCATTGCGAGGAAAATTGAGAAATTGATGAGAGATTTTCATTGGAAAGGGTGTGATGAGGGTAAAAGGGACCATTTGGTTAAATGGGAGATCGTTTCTCTCCTTAGGGATGGGAGCTTCTATTTGCACACACCCATTCCCCTCTTTACACATCTTTTTCAATAAATAATTGGTTCGGAAGTAGATTTCCAAAAATAAACAATTGGTTCGGAAGTAGCATTCCGAAAATAAATAACTTGTTCGGAAGTAGAGTTCCGAATTTTTTTTTATTTTTTCGACATTCAACTTCCGAATGTGTTTATTTAATATCCATAATAGTAATTTCACTTGAAAATAAAATTATAGTAAAAATAATTTTTATTAAATGTGTGTAAAGAGGGGAATGATAGGATGTGCAAACAGAAGCTCCCCCTAGGGATAGAGGGGTCCTTGCTATAGGGAATAGCGTTGCTAGGAACATTAATCTCTTAGGCCCCGTTTGTTTTGGGTGAAAGAGAGGGTATTGGGATTGCTAATACCAAGGTATTAGTAATAGTCTTGTTTGTTTTGGGAGAAGGCCTTGGGACTATTAGTCCCTTGGTATTACTAATACCCTTGGAGAGGGGATTGGTAAGGAGGAGGTAGAGATGGTATTAGAAAAATAGTGAGGGGATTAGAAATTTTTTTATTTTTTTTATTTTTTATATATGGGAAATTTTTTTAAAAATATAATTTTTAATTTTTTATATTTTTTTATTTGTTTTATTATTTTATATAAAAATAATTTAATAATTCATCACTACTAATCCCCTCACTATCAATCCCCTCACTACTAATCCCCTCACTATCAATCCCCTCACTAACAATCCCCTCACTATTAATCCCCTCACTATCAATCCCCTCTATTCTATCTCTAGAAACAAACAGGGCCTTAAGCATGTGGTTGTGGAGATTTCCTGATGAAAGTAAGTCGCTATGGTGTTCTATTGTAAAAAGCAAGTATGGAGTTCAACTCAATGGTAGAGATTCTAACGTGGTTAATAGAGGCAATTGTCATTCACCGTGGAAATCCATTTCTCGATTGTATCCACTTGTGTCTAATTTTCTTTCATTAGAAGTGGGGAATCTGGTGAGCATCCATTTTTTGGAGGATGTTTGGTTTGGGGACAGCTCATTTGATAGAGCTTTTCCACTTCTATATCGGTTGGTTCATTCTCAAAATGTTTCAATAGCTTCAAGGACATGTTCTTCTATAGCACCTATCTCTTGGAATTTTGACTTCCCTACAAACTTAAATGAAAGGGAGGTTGTTGAGTTGGCGTCTTTGTTGGTATTGCTTGATGGGGTTTCTCTTTCTTCCTCTCGTGACACTAGGGTATGGAATATTATTTATTCAAGGGTCTTTTCCTGTAAATCTTTATTTGATAAGTTTATTGATAATCCCTCTGTTCCTATGTTTCCTTTTCATAAGAAAATTTAGAAAATGGTAGTTCGTCCTAAAGTGAAGTTTTTCATGCGGTCTTTAGCTCAAAGGGGTGTCACAACTAATGATGTTTTCCAAAGAAAAAGGCCTAATCAATCTCTTTGCTCTCAATGGTGTGTGATGTGCTAGAGGAATTCGGAGGTGACGAATCATTTATTCCTTCATTGCCCGATGGCTTTTGCATTATGGCAGCATCTTTTTGTTGGGATCTGGGATCCCGCCCAAGACCTTATAGAAATCAAAACAAGCAGAAAAACACACCCACACATAAGGAGACACAATATTTTACGTGGTTCGGCCCAATGCCTACGTCCACGGGAGAGTAACCGGTTATATCACTATACCAATGAGGAGATTACAGAAAGATTACAATAGAGGAGGAGCTCACACTCTCCTCACTCAGCCACTCACCCGTCTCCCTCGCTCACACCGAGGGAGACGGTCTCTCCGCCTCACATCTCTCACTTTCTTTGTTGTCTCACGGTTTGCTCACATTTTGCTCTCTCCTCTCAACCTCCATTTATAGGTGAGGGAGTAGGTGGGAGAGCCTTTGGGCAGCCTCCATCCTTGACTCTTCAAGATGGTTGGTGGCCTTCCATTGTTGACCAAGGTGTGTTCCCATGGAAGAGCATCACCTCCTTCACATGGGGTGAATTCAACACTTTTTGGCTTATGTGAGGATCAGTTGGTTGCCCCGTGGGATTGCATTCAAATGCTTCTTGTTAGGTTCAAAGGGTTTGGGATCTCCAAAAGGGCTAAAACATTGTGATCAAGCATTGTTTTTGCTATTTTCTAGACTTTATGGTTGGAGAGAAATGCAAGAATTTTTTATGACAAGGAATCGAATATAGCAGATTTGTGGGATAGGGTGGGGTATTTGGCTTCATTTTGGGCATTCGTATCACCTCCTTTTAAAGGAGTCCCTTTGTTCTTGATCTTTAGGGATTAAACTGTTGTTTGCCATCCCTAGTGCTGGGAGTTTTGTGCTTTTGTTTTGTTTTCTCTCCTTTGTATGAGGACTTCTTATCCTCTTTCATTTTTTTGATTTTTAATAAAAAATTTTGTTGATGCTCAAAAAAAAAATAAAAATAAAAAGTAGGGAGAACTGTTCCACATATTAAAGTGTTTCCTAAAAAATGGGGGTTTTTTCAGAGTACTTCTTCCAAAAATAGTTTCAGAAACAATTTGCCAAAAAAATTTCTATAATCCTCCTCAAATTCTTACAAGTTCATATGATGCTGTTTGATGAGAACAGAAAACAGTTTTGAAAATGATACCAAATGCGCTTCTTAGATTAGATTAGATGTTCAAAAAGTCTACAATTGGAGAAGATTATTGTTTGCGTGGAATGAACTGTAACTAGCTTTAGTAATAAATGAATATGACTGCTTGCAGACAAGGCAAGTTATATCAGAGCTATTCTGTTTGTGTCCAAATGCGAAGACTGCTTTGGAGGTTGCCACAAAGGAGATAGAAAAGTGATACAAACTCTGGGTTTGCAAAGGAAGCGGTCAGTGATGATTCATTGCTTCTCTCAAGAATATTTGGGAGAATGCTGGACTCATGTGACTCAGCTGCATGACGTTGGCAAGTAAGTTGGCATTGGCTCTGCGGTGTTCAATTTTGTCGAACACTATTTTTTTATTTTTTATTGATGATGATGATCTATGATTACTTCAATACAGTAACATTTGATATTTTTTAATTGGCGAGACACCACCCAGGTATGCAGCTAATGCATATACAATATTTTGCACAGGGAAGTGGGACCGTGTGAGGCCCACAGATCGCATGCTAAATAAGTACTGGTCATTTCTCTGCAGCAATAGAGCAACTATATGAAATGATGTTACCCTAAGCAGCAAGATGGCTGGCTGGCTAGCGTGTGTGTATAAATCATTGTACTGTACGCATCTGTTTTGAGTTTCAGCACATGAATAGAGGGGTGGGTAGAGTCTATTTTAAGTGCAGGTGAATTTTATTTATATATAAATATTTATAAAAGGGGGAATTCTTTTATTATCCTATGACCATTTTGTTATTTCTCTCTGTCTCCGTCTCTCTCTCTCTCTCTGATTGTGTGCACGCGTTGGCAAGAACTTCTATACTTAATTATTAACTCATTAGCAAGTCAAGTGTTCAATTCTTGCCATGGGCAAGACTCTCCTCTCTACGCTGCCCTGCCCAAGCTACAACCTGAACTATGGTTGAGAAAATGTTGTTTGAGGGATCCTTGGATAAAGAATGTGAGCAAAGGCATTGCCTCAAGCCAAGTAAGCTTACTTCCCTTCCATATATAAGCGTTAGATATCCTTCAAGGCACTTCAAGAAGAGGATATATGTGGGAGTAGTATTGTTCTTTTTCGTGGAATGAAGGTCAAAATTCAGGCTGGCATGCGTACTCTCTTTTTGGCCTTATATACAGTCACAAATAACTAATTTGAGCGTAAGAGTCGCATGTCTCTTGGAGCCACAACATGTCTCGCTTGCATTCATTTGGTAAACTCTTTCCTGTGATCTTTTTTGGGGGATTCCAAAGTACTGTAATCCATGAAGAATTGTTGCTAATTTCTAACATCAACTATTATTAAATGTTACCAAAATAAATATAAAAAACATGTTTAAAACCCCAACCCAATGGTAAGCTTTTAAGCTAGCTACTCACGTTGATAAAATAGTCTTAGCACCTCATGCTTGGGCAGATGCATATCATGCAAGTATCATGCAAGCAAGCATGACACCATGTGGGACAAGCTCCTGCCACGTTTTGTGTTTGCCAGTACCCAAAATTGGGTAGAAACATATTACACTGGCAGAGCTCTGAAGACACCAATTTGAATGTATGTTTTCTTGTCCCTCCAAAAACAAAAACAAAAGCGATGATAATTGATACGAGGCTCTTGCTTCAGAGCTCGCTCTCCTGTATCTCTGAGGTGCAAAAGCTATGCTTCAGCCAGCAATATACTTAAGCACCATGAGAACAAACTCTATGGAAGCAACTCAGAAAAATGGCTGCCTAAAGAAAACTCTGAAGCTCCAATGAAAACAAAATCAAGTATAAAATAGGTGAGGCACCAAGTTTAAAACTCTGAAGCCCCCATGCAAGGATATGCTCTCTCCTTTGAAAGACTGTGTAACGCGAGGCTGATACTGTTGCTGTTATGTGTAATGAGGACTAGTGTTTTTATTTGGTAAAACTAATTAAAGATACAAGCAATGCTTTTATGTAAGGTGTATTGAATTCTCTTAATAGAATAGATGTCAAATGAATGACAAACGTGTGCTTGTTAGAGGCTGGCGGAACAAGACAGCTTCATGCTTGTTAGAGGCTAGCTGGCGGACCCGCGTTTCAGTGATTCCATTGGAAAGGGCCCCTGTATGTCTCCCTAGGGATCCACATAATGCCATATTTGATATTGACAATTGTCCACCAGCATCTTCAACTTCTTTATCATCACTCACTTCAATCACCTGAGTTGCCACAACCACCTGCTTGTGCTCATCAATCTTTCCATGAGAATCCTCCTCAAATTCTTACAAGCTCATATGATGCATCTTCTTATGTTCTTGAACAAATTGAGCTGGTTGATCTTCTGCATCATTATCAATCAACAAACAATACGAGTTCCAAGTGAAAAACACTTTTTCATGTAAATAAAAACCTCAACAAACAATAAATTAGGTCTAAAATTAATTAAAAGAATTCTCCCTTTTTAATTATTTTTTCTGCTTTTATATTTTTGGCCAAACATATTGAACAAACTGACAAGGTGTCTCCCCAGCAGGTGCTGATATGTTAATGAACTTCTGAATGCTTGATTCAATTAAAAGTAGATTATGGAAACATTCACACTTATGGCTTATGCACTCATCTAGTAGATAATCAACTAACCATGCTTGGAGTCGTGACTGGATAAAGATACCACCATTATGATGTACTAATATATTTGCAATATTAGGTTCAATTAAGGGTTTGTCCAGTGGATTATGTTTCTTATGTCACAATGGATCACAAGTTAACATATTGACATATTTAATTCCATCAAGAAAAAGATCAAGCGTTAATAATTTTTTTAGATGCATTAAGCTCATCAATTTTTATTGTCATATTTTGATGTCTTAAAAGCAACTTGTATTCCTAAAGAAATTAAAAGAAAAATTATTGATTATTCAAAGCATGGTTTTAATCTTAGAATCTTCACTACTCTGATTCCAGTTATCTTTATATATTACATTACAATCAATAACAATCAATAAAAAAGCCCCAATGGTCATATTGACTTCCTATTTATGTAAAAATTCTAAGGCCACAGGCTTCAAGCAACAATCGGTTGTCCCTTCAAATCATACATTCACTCAAAGATTTCAACCACTCATTACTTTTCATTAATGTAAATAAACAAACAAACAAATAAACAAAGGGTTACTTACATGGAAGGATCTAACAAATGTAGGGATCTCCCTTGAAATTTCTAAAATTACAATATCCTCCTTTGTCTGGGTTTTTGTCGGTTAACTGACATTAATAGTAAATGGGCAATTACCCCTTTGCCCCTTTACTAAACCAATTTTTAATTACACTATATTTTTATTTTTATTTTAAATTTAAATTACAAAAAAAAAAGAAAAAAATATTACACCTAATTTTTCCTAATACCCATATCCAAACACCCATATAACCTTCTATGCCTCTTTCTCTCTTCTCTTCTCTCTACCAAAACTTTTACTCTAATCCCTCTTTCCTCTTCCTATTCTTCTTCCACAACCCCCCGAAGCCCCTTGGGCACTGGCACCACAACCACCCAAACCCCATTGGGTTGCCACGAATTGTATTGTTTGCAATTTACTGGAGCCTTGCTGACCCAAAACGCGATTCAGTCGAGCCCCAAATAAATCTAATACCTTGTTTTCTTGTGGAAATCTGTTTTTTGTACCTGAGGTATTCCTAGCCATGTTTGTCTTTTCTACCCTTCTCTATCATAGAGAGTAGTCAAGAGAGGAGCGAACTCGGTTCCCAAACTATCTTTGGTTGCAAGTTGATTTGCAAGATGATTTTGGACACGATAGGACAAAGATCAATAAATGCAATGCATAACAACCACCCCTCCCTCCTATCATGAAGTGAATTAAAAAAAGGAAGTAGAGACGCTTCAATGTTCATCAAAATATCATGAATTGATGTAAGACAAGCCTTGACACAATAGACTTCGGCATAACGTCTGGCCGTAAAGACGCTTCAAGATTCATCAAAACATCATGAATTGATGTAAGACAAGCCTTGACACAATAGACTCGGTATAACGTCTGACCGAATCCAGTCAATCATATTGGTTCTTTATGTCGGTTGATTCATTTTAAACTCAATTTTATTAGCCTCTTTTATATTACCTTTCCTTTTCTTTAATCCATTAAGTCCACGGTGATATTTACATCCACTAAGTCTGGAACACAATAAAGGGAAACAAGTGTCGACTTAACCCGAGGAAATAAACCTTATTTTCTTCGGGGGAAATTACAAAGGAAGATTCAAACTTATTTACAAGTTAGGGATTTCAAGTCAAACCCAAGATGCGCAACAAGGACTAGTCAAACTCAGAAGAGTGATAATGACTTAGAAAAACCCAAAGTGAGCGATAATGACTTGAAATCCAAACTTGATAATAAGCTATAATGACACTTTCCTTGGTGATTTCCAAGGGTCAATTAGTCCCTTAAAAGTAAACACACTGGCGATAAAAAGAAATAAAAAACAAAAGATTGGCTTTAGTATAAGGAAGATGTATGCCTTTGGTAATGAACCTCTGAAGAGATTAAACCATTAAGCATGAAAATTTTTTATGCCTTTGGTAATGAACCTCCGAAAAGATTAAATCATTAAGCATGGAAAAATTTCTTTCTTGTACTTGAATAACAACCTTAATTTTTCACAACTTTTTAATCAAAATAATCAAAGAATTGAGGGAGATTGCAGAGATGATTATGCAAAGTTAATTAATTGGTTATTACGACACAAACATAATATTCAAAATAAAACTATTGAAATAAATTAAACAACCCCCTGAATAGCATAAAATAGTGCTAAAATTAAGCTATAGAAGGTGCACAATCATAAAGAGATTAAAGCTAATAAACAAGTTCAAGGAAGGGTGGCTAACCCCTCCATTTTTGTAATTTTAAATCACATATTTTAGATGTTGCAAAACAGTCCGAAATCAGTCCCAAAACAGTGGCAAAAATTAGAGAAAACAAGTAGGAAACACAAGGATAAAAGCTTGGAATAAGGTTCAAGCACGGTGATTAACCTCTCCACCTTTGGGTAGCTTTAATCACAAGTTTCAGCCCTTAAAACAGTCCCAAAATAAAATGAAAACACAAGAAAAAGATGAACAAAGATTGAATTGAAAGCGAGGAAGCTTTACCTCTTGTAGAGAAGGTATTCCTGTTGTAAACCAAACTTGATTCCAAAGCACCCTCAAGTTTGAGTTATGATCTTCAAGTCTCAATCCAAGTTCCAAGTTCAAGCTCTACTTTGGTATATATGGATGATATGAGAGCTTCAAGGCTATGGAAGAACAAGATGGATGGTAGCTTTGATCTTTTCTAACTCTTGATCTTTTTAACTCACTCGACATTGATTTGTTCTAACCTTTGATCTTGTTGTCTAACACTTGATATATCTCTCTCTAACCAATTCTATATATGTTTTTCAACCTCCTTTAGTCTGAACCCTACTATTTATAGGCCTCAAGCAGGTTTGATCAAAATATCCGCAAATTTGGGCAGCTGGCAGATTGCTGCTGATACTGCCTGAAAAGTCAAGAGGTCCGGCTGGACTTCAGTGC